TGTCCCCCCAGCCGGGAGGGGCCACAACAGTGAGAGGCCCGCGGAACGCAAAAAAAAAAAAAAAAGTCAGTGGTAGGCAGGGCAAAGGAGAAGTTGACGAACTCGTCTGGAAAGTGTTCTGTCAAAGAGGGAATTAGACTGTTATTTTTTCATCATCACATAACAAGAGCTACGGTGAGAATACAAACGCTGTTGCCTTTAAATTTCCCCAAGTGGTCAGTACCTTCCCGTACAGGCAAAGCTAGCGCTAAGTACAGGCAAACTAGAAGCTGCACTAATGACTATCAGTACCTCTGTTATTACTACTAGTACTATTAATACTATTCTATTACCATTACCGTTTATATCATCAACCCATGTCCCATGATCTGAAATAGCCTCAGAAAGCCCTCCCTATTCGAAAAAGACCGCCTTCTTAAAGCTAGAAATTGTCACTGCAGATTACTTCCTTTCTGTCTTATCCTTTGCCGGAAGTGCTTTGAAAATCCAGTGCAACCGTTTCTGAGAAGATGTAATACATTCACTTCTAGATGCTTTGGGGTGAATTATCTAGCTAGACTGCTTTCTGCTGAGCTGGAAAAACGGATGATAGAACTGGTGGAATCTGGAGAAAGACTGCTGCAGAGAGGGGATGGCAAGGGAGACGGAAGGAGGGCAGGGTGTTGAAAGCAGGGGCTAAATTCATCAGAGAAACAACCCTGCCGGCCCCCGGCGGCCAGCCCTGCGGCAGGAAATCCACTGTTCTGCCGGTCGGTTCAGCCCACCCTGGGCATTATGAATGTCTGTAGCAGCGGTGGCCACAGCGAGGTTCCTGAGCATCTGCCCAGCAGACTTCCTGGTTCTCTTGCCAGATGGCGAGGCTTTTCACCTCTCACAGTTGAAAGCGTCTAACTCAGTACTCCGGGAACTGTGCAAGGTCCTTCTCCCATCTGGCAGTTCCTCCAGGATGTCTACACCTCCTCTTCCTTAAAAATTAGGGAAGTGACTAAATGGACCATATGTCAACATGTTCAACAGTTACCAGATGCTTTTCCCATTCTCTGGAGCACTTTAAGGTAGAAAACAAATGTGCTTTTCAAACTAGATGTGCTCAGAAAACGTTACATCCAAACTGATCCTTATTTTATTTATGATTTAATAATGTCTGATAGCAACGGCTTTATAAAATAAAAGCTCCACCACACTGATGCATTTCATGGGTAAAGCCACATTTTCCTTTAAGGATTTTTTACTAAAAAAGGTGAGCAAGGGCTTCCCTGGTGGCGCAGTGGTTGAGAGTCCACCTGCCGATGCAGGGAACGCGGGTTCGTGCCCCGGTCCGGGAAGATCCCACATGCCGCGGAGCGGCTGGGCCCGTGAGCCGTGGCCGCTGAGACTGCGCGTCCGGAGGCTGTGCTCCGCAATGGGAGAGGCCACAACAGTGAGAGGCCCGCGTACCGCAAAAAACAAACAAACAAACAAACAAAAAAAGGTGAGCAAGTAATACTGTCATTTCTTAAGGGAAAGATTGGATCTTGTTACGTGAGGTTTCTAGGCAGAAAACAGTCTTCTGTTTCAATACAAATTCTGCAGCATCAACTCACTCTAGCGCTGGCTCACCAGGCATGTGTGATATAGTTTGACCAAGGCAAAGCCTGTGAAACAAGGTGAGTCCCAATTCTTTTCTTTTCCTAATTATGACAATCTTGGATAAGTCATTTAATTTGAACCTCGATTTCCTTATTTGAAAATGGGAGGCAAAAAAATGCCAGCTTCAAACTTGTGGTCAAGTTTAAGTGGGATTAAAAGTGATAACATATCTTTTAAAAATTGGTTGTTCATAAACTAGTATACAAAACAGAATCACCAATGCTATTTTAATTTCTTCTTCTTGTCATTCACCAGTATAAACTGGAAGGTGGGGAATTTCCAGTGATATCTCAGATTTGCAAACAGGATCGGAAATTGACATTGGTTGAGAGACACACAGGTTGACAGAGAAAGATATAAAACCAGAGGCATGGAGTCAGATAATACAGAAAGAGACATGGTGACAAAGGCAGAGAAGTGGAAAGGGCAGACACCAAGAGGAGAGACACAGGAATGAGACTCTGAGAGTCAGACCCCAAAGCAAAGCCAATGACCTCATCCTCGGCTCTCTGCTGAAGAGGGAAGGTGGGGACAAGCTTGTCTTGTCTGTAGGCAAGACACCATGGACCTACATCACCCATCACTCCCTCTTGGGTCTTCTCTGCCACAATCTTGTCTACAACCCAAACATGAAACTTGTGTGTGTATATTTTGGGGATTTTGTTTTAGAATGGCTAAGCTGGAGCTGGCAATCAAGCCTTACTTTTTCAGTCTGGGAAAAAAGCCAGCCACCTGACATTTGCTCTTTCACCGACCGCATCTCCCATTTTTACTTGGCCAAGAGGCAAAAACCTGTTTGCAAAAGGGCTTCTAACAGTCTCACCTGGAATGCTTATAGACCCCTGTTGCTTCCATTCAACTTGACTCCAATTCACCGTCATCTCACTGCAGCAGTTCAAAGACACGGGACTGTTGTCACACATCAACTTCATGTCTTCATTTGCCAAAATCTGGATGGATGTAACATCTATTTTTTTTCTGGACCCATATTCAAAAATATCTAATGTCAGTTTGCAAATATATTCACCTGTATCGAATACACAAAGGCATTTATTATTACTATTACACATGTCTATTTCCTTAGAAGAATGATAGCCTCATCTCACGTGTCATGATGGTACTTCGTGAAACATCACTTTCAAAAGCATCCGAACCCTAAAGGAACATTCAGGAAGTGCAGAAGGTCAAGGCAGGTATTTCTGATGCCATAAGGTAAAAGAGTAGAGACCTGTTCTCAAGAAAGAGCAGAAATCTGAGTCCTCGCTAGTAAGAAAAGAAGTGTGGGGATGCTTCAGAGGTAGAAAGGGAAAATGGGAAAGCCTTGGAGAATTAGGAGATCATGGATAATTTTGGCATCCTATTTAACTCTGTGGCAGGTCAGAGTCAACAAACATATGATAGAACCCATGTGTCTGCAGCCCAGTTTCTCATTCAGAGAAAAAGAGATGCTCCTGCTGACATCTGGGTTATGATGGGGGCTATTAAATTCTAGAATGTCAGGTACAAAACTTATGCTTCTGTGGTTGCTGGGGAGGGACAAGTAGGAGGGAGAGCAGGGGCCCATCTGTTCACTACCTTCATTGTGGTGATAGTTGTACGGGTGTACACACATGTCAAAACTTATTAAGTTATACACTTCACATATGTACAGCTTACTCTATGTCAATTCTACCTCAACAAGGCTCTTCTAAATTATTTTAAAATGTTAAAAAAAGGAGCTTACTTTTTGTCTTAGGTCCCAACTCATAAGCTTCAGCAAATGTGGAAAATTATATTTGTCTCCCAAGGCTAAATTTGCTTGGCTCATTCATCATGGGACTAATTTTCAGTTTTGAAAAGCTGAGCTTAGTGACTTCTTTTTGAAGAGGAAAAGGCTATCTACACACACCACCACGGTTTGATTCTTTCTTAGCCCTTCATTCCTTTTCTCGCCCTGGTTACTGGATGGCAACCCACCTGCGTCATCCTGAGTGATGTTGTAAATGGTGAGGCGAGACACGGAGGTCATGTTGTTGAGCACGTAGGTGTAGATGGAGAATCTGCTGCTGTTCTGGATGTCGAAGCCTGTTTCCACATGCTGCCAGGTTACGTTGGAGGACAAAACTTCGTTCTCACACATCAGAGTTACTGTATCCCCTTCAAGGATGATTTCTGGGGTGATGGAGAACTTCGTTTCATCTGGAAACCCAAACAAAAGATATTAGGGTCCCAAAGCAAATAAATGGAATTAATGCTACTCCCTCAATGCCACCACCACTGGGGTTCTCAAGAGGTCTCCATGGTGATGAATGAGGCAATGCGTCTTCCTCACTCCACCCCTGGGCAGCTGGGATCTGAGGCCCTAGAGTGACAGTCTGCCAGCTACTAGGGACATGGTTCCCAGTTTGGGATCTTTTGCACACTTAACAGTCCTCAGTGGTACTAATGGGGATCCCAAAGCTATTTTCAATATTTCAAATAATCTGTCACAGACATAGAGAACAGACTTGTGGTTGCCAAGGGGGAGGGGGGTAGGGGAGGGATGGACTGGGAGTTTGGGTTTAGCAAATGCAAACTATTATATACAGGATGGATAAACATCAAGGTCTTACTGTATAGCACGGGGAACTATATTCATTACAGTTGTGATAAACCATAATGGAAAAGAATATGAAAAAGAATGTATGTGTATGTATAACTGAACCACTTTGCTGTACAGCAGAAATTAACACAACATTGTAAATCAACTATACTTGAATAAAATTTATAAAATAAAATTAAAATGCAAAAAAATTTTTAAATAGTCTGGTAGAAAATTGCACATTTGCTTATGAAAAAGCCACCCCAGCTAACCTAAACATCAAGTTTCTTTGCTACTGATTTGAAAGATATCAACTGCTTCTTACTGATAACTGATACCTCATGCTGACTGAAAGCTCTGTCCTGTGTCTTTGATGACTTAAGAGTGGGAAAATAAATTAATCTTTTACAATAAAGTATGCTTGGGAAATAAGAATGTTTTTAAAGACCTAACACCGATGGGCCCATAAGAGTGGGAGCTTATTAGATACACAGGTCTGTATTTGAATCCTGGTTCTGTACCAGGCATAGCTGTGTGGCCCTGGGGAACTTGCTTAGCATCTCTGAGCCTCAGCTCCCTTGTCTGGAAAATAGGAGCAGTGAGCACTACCACGGGAGGTGATTTGGAGGAATAGTAACTATTCTTATTGTTTGCACAGTAAAATTCTGGGGAACCCTGGTATTAAGCCATTTCACAGACAGAAATGAAAACACGGTATTTGCTATTTTTGTGTATGTTTTTATGGCTGTCCCTTGTTTACACAACATGCAGATTTTTCCCTCTAAGCTGTGCTATGTCCTTCATGAGCTCTATGTGTTGAGAAAATCAGAGGAGCTGGGGAAGGAGGTTTGGCAACTCCTCTTTTGGATGGTTCTTTATGCCAATGCCACACCCTGTCCATACTGTAAACATGGGACTAAAATACCATACAATTAATTTAGGGTGCTCTGATGTTCTGGTCAAAATATCAAGGTACCTAAATATTTCTTATCCCGTTTTTTAGGCTCCTGGATAAAATAAGATTTCAGAAAATTGCATTCAACTATTAGGAAGCAAGGCCATCTGTGAATATTTCATGTAGTGAACTGACCAGGAAGGCACACAAACTTATGTTACTTACTATGTGGCCTTGAGCAAATGATTTAAATCTAAGCCTCCATTTCCTCACCTGTAAAATGGTGATAATAGTATCTACCTCACAGGATGTATCAAGATGAAAAATGTATAAAACACTGGGTTTAACATAGAAAAGGTACAATATCTGTGCCCGCTTTTCATTAGTACCATTGCTAATTACAATGATCTGGAAAACTGCCGGTTTTCCATGGTTATATGGAATTGATCATAAATATATTGGGAGTGATTAAAGAAAGGGGTGTTCTGGTTAAGGGACCCTGCTGATTGGTCAAACATCACTAGAGGATTAATATATGGCAAAATAAAAGGGACTATTCTGAAGATTGCCATGTGCCTTTCCTGAATAGTTTCATGAAGATGGACTTAAAAATAATTTCCTGATACCACCTCATTCATTCAGCATTTTTCTTTTTCTCTTCCTCTCCCCTGCACCCCTCACTCTTGCCGCCAGATAAACTTATAATTTAAGAAAAACCCACCCAGGGACTTCCCTGGCGGTGCAGTGGTTAATACTCTGCGTTTCCAATGCAGGGGGCGTGGGCTCGATACCTGGTGGGGGAACTAAGATCCCACATGCTGTGCGGCCAAAAAAAAAAAAAAAAAATCTACTCAGCTACTTGACTTTTTTGGATACTTGTATTTTGGATAAACCCCACTAACCCTATGGAGAGCAGGCTGGTATTTAAGCTCCCGGGGGTGGAGTTGCATGTGACATAGTTCATGGTCATTGGTTTAAGGCTGTGCGTATCAAGGACAGAGATGAATGTAGATTCTCTTGCAAAAAGGGGCATCGAGTGTCATTCACAACAACTTCATGGCTCTTTGGAAGAATAAACCACAGACACTAGAGCACTTCTGTGGTTTTGGACTGACTGTCAGCCACCGGTCAGGAAAACTGCTGGATACTTATTCCTGTAAATGGCTGACTATATTCAGCACAATTGAAATTTGGGGGAAAGAG